AACAATTAAAGGATTAATTTTAATTTAAATGCCAGTCACCATGTGAAGTTTTAAGACTAAAACCAAGTAAGAAAAATTCCAGTCCCAGAAGTCTTATAGTTCAGAGGGGAGGGCATGTAGGTAAGCAAGTACTTACATTGCAACATGAAAAGTGCTACGTGAATAAGGACATGTAGAAAATAATTTGAGACACAGAGGAAAGAGAGAGAATCCTTGTTTGGGGCTCAGCTAGGGATGGCTCACTAGATGTGAGTGTTGAAGGGTAAGTGGGTTCAGCTGGCTAATTAGATAGGAAAGGACATTCCAGTTTGAGTTCACCATGAAAATCATCAGCCTGTAACAAGTTCGGGTGGCCTGAAACAGGATGTGAAGTGGCGAATGGCCAGAGATGAGCCCGGACTGGCAGACTGGGGCAGGTCAGAGAGGGTCTTGTGTCATGTGAAGGGGGTTAGCGCAGCCGAAGCCGGTTTGGCTCGGTGGATGGAGCGTCGGCCTGCGGACTGGAGGGGGTTAGCGTGTCAGAATTTTATCCGAAGGCGTGACACATCCAATGCACATCTTAGAATGACCACTGGCGCTGGAGAAGGCAGTGGAAGATCAAATGCAGGATTCCGGGCTGGGGAAGGGAGACTCCTTAGAAGACCAGCATAGGAAGTGAGGGCTAGACAGGAGGGAAGAGTTGAGACATATTTCAGAGGCTGATTCAGTGACAGGTCATAGTCACCAAACACAAGATAGAGGATTCATGGATGACTCCGAGGTTCACTCATCCATCAGACATTTTTTGTGTGCCTTTGCTAGGCACTCTGCTAGGTTCTGGTGGGGGGGGGGCGGGGGGCGCGTGGGGAGTCATAGGGTAAATACAGCATGGTTCCTGCCCTAGAGGAGCTTTCAATTTAGTGGAAACACAGATAATAAATAAACAAGTCACTGTAGCTGTGATGCTCCATTCTCAAGAGAACAGAGCCCCGAGGGACTTGAGAAGATGTCAAAGATGGAGAAGGTGAACCCAGGGTGGTTGAACTACGAAGCTGAGGGAAAGGAGTGGTCCGTGGTGACAGATGCTGCCAAGAAAGTGGGTGCAGGGATGAGGACTTTCCCAGATGGCACTGATGATCAGAACAGCAGGGAGGGTTGCCCACCAGATATCCATGGGGTGTGGAGCAGAGAGGTGGTGAGGATGCCGAGAAATGAATACAGCTCTATTTTTAGAGACTGGTCAGGAAGTGAAGAGACAAGCCAGTGAGAGGCAGGCTTCATAAAGACGTTGCTTTTAAGATGGGAAACGTGTGAGTACTTATTCTCACCTGGACCAGCTGTAGAACTTGTGGAGGAACCCAGGGCACAATGAAAATCTGGGGCCTCTAGTGAAACTATTAAGAATTTAAAACAGTAACAGCAGAGCATGAAACCAGTGTGGGGCTCTTCTGCGTGCAAGGCCCGGGGAGGAGGGCCAATGACAGAGTCTGGTCCTACTGCAACTGGGAAGGGAGGGTCCAGGTGGAGGGAGAGCAAGAGGAGATACAGGACTTTGGGAATCTCCTGAGATGGGGAGATGGAGGACAGAGGGAGGGGGTGCTGGAGGCCAAGGACTTCATGCTGGAGCGATGGTTTTCTTTACTGAATAATCTGTAGGTAGAGGAAATGCGACAATTTTGCGGCAGCCAGAGGGCAGTGGGAGGCCACGCTGAGCAGCACTGAGGAGCCTGATGGGGGGAAAGGTCATTGCAGGTGGCAGACGGGGCAGGAGCAACAGAGGCCGAGAGAGAGACTTGTGGCAAGCATGCCCTGGAGATGATGGGGAACTCATGTGGTGACATGGATGAGAAATGGGGTGTCCAGAAAGACTGGCGGGCTTGCTCAGTGGGGAGGTAGTTGGAGATGAAAGTGGGAGGGTAGGAGGCCTGGATCAAAGGAGTAGAATTTGTGAGGTTTGTATTCTGGGCATGCGCTGATGGTGAAGTTGGTGTGGCTACTCTAGGGGACTTATCCAAAGAGTTAAGCAGCAAAAGCAAGGAGAGCTAGAAGGTCTGGAATGAGCAGCAGGGTTATGGATCATTGTTATTTTAAGACCAGGCACAGGTGTGTATGTGTGACAAGGTGAGTCCATAGAGAGGGGCGGTTAAAGGGGTAGGGGAAGGGGCAGAAGACAGGGAGAGGGGCACGTTATAGAGCCGCCTTGTGGAGGGGCGGATGTTCCGGGCCATTGATATTATCCTGTGACCTACAGGAGGTAAGATGAACTGCGAACTTGGCCATAGCCGGGAATGGAGAGAACCGTGAATTCTCAATGGAAACGAAGGGGGTCGCCCGCGAGCAGCGAGGAGAGCGGTGGGAGGCGGAGAGGAATCTCGCTGTTCCCGCTGGGCCGAGGAGGGCCAGTGCTCGCCTTCCCTCCACGTTTCAGCGGGTCCCCAGCTCTCCGCCGACCCGCAGCGATTCGGTGACCTCGTGGAAGTGGCCCCCGCGGTCCCGCACGGCCCAGTGAGGGCTTTCGGAGACCTCACCGAATGAGAGGCCGCGGGGATGCAGAGGTCCCCCAGCATCCACCAGGCAGCCCCAGTGCCCGGCCTGGCGCTGGGGTCCCGGAGCGGAGCCTCGCACCCCATAGGCCTCTCTCCTGGCGCCCCCTGCGCGTGTCTCTTAAGAGGAGCTGCTTGGGTTCCCCGGCTCACCCTCCTCCTTCTTAGTTTCCTTCTCCCCAGGGAAAACCCCGGCTGGGCTCCGGTGGTGCCACCACCCCGCTAGCTGCCGAGGCCGGCTCCCTCACTCCCCGGTGCCCGGCTGGGGTTTTCTGAATTCGGGCAGCAGGCGCCCGCCGCCGCTGCCTGGATCTGGAAAGGGTTAAGCCCTCTCCCAGATGGGTAAGCAGCCAGAGGACAGCCACGTCCCCCCGCCCCCTATCCGATTCCTGGAGCTCTTAGCGGTGCAGCTCGGCCGGGACTCCCCGGGCCACAGGGCGCACGTGCAGACCGAGCAAGTGGCGTCCCCGCTGCCCGAGTTTGCAGCC